TTTTTTTCTCCGAGACAGATGTTGGTTTCACCGGTTGCCTATGCTATGTTCACTTATAGTGGCTGATTTTGTTGGTTGCTTGCTTGACACCGATCAGATGTTATTGACAAACCAGAAACAATATGTTGAGTTTCAGTTAAGCCCGACGTAAAAATGATAATTTTCTTTCTGTTTTTCTTTCCTTTCGGCCTGACCCCTGAGGATTCCCCACATCCGATTGAGTTGGTTTGATTTTGCAAAGATATCCCTTTAATTATTTGCTATGAAAAGGAAAACGTTTCTAATAATTTCGGTGTCTCATAGTTCCACAAAGCAATTTCGGTTTTATATGCTGGATGATCAGGAGAAACAGAATATATACCTTCAAGATGTGAATTTTTACTCTGTGGTCGGTGCCTGTCCATTTATTTGCGATTCGAAACACAAATAGAAAAACCTTCAAAGCATACATCAGGTCATATGTATCAGAAATAGATAAACAAAATTTAACTGAGATTTTGCAAGCTAAGTGACCATATACGGTGCAGTAAGATTGTGACGTGAAAAAAATATGCTTATGTTTTCATCCTGTAGTGCACAATCCTCGTTGCAATTGCAACTTTGCTAAAGCCACCTATCCATTCTAAGTGATCAGTCAAATATATATTGAAATCACTTTCCTTTTTAATAATGTTTCCTTTTTTTTAGCTTTCATTAGTTAAATATATCAATTTAACTACATCTCAGCCCTATTTAAAAGATGATTTTAATTGAAACACACATATTAGCAAAGGTGGTTAAAATTAGTTTTTTGATTTTATATATTTTTAAAAATTATCTCTGACATTCTAAAATTTCTCTTAATGAAAGTCATTGAATATGTGTGAATCTCCTTTTTCGCATATACAAAAAATTTCAATTTCAGTGAAGGACATATCCTAAAAATTTCATAAATGCTTCAGCTATTTTATAGCTAGGAGTGAAAATGTAATACTGATCATTGAATGCCCAAAAAAAAAATTTAGAAATATTTGTGTTTGATTCTAGTAAGGAGTATTGTTTTAAAAAAAACAAATTAATTATATGAGAATAGTCATGTCCTGTTTATTTCCTTTTTTCTTTTCAGATAATGTAATGTGTTGTTAGAAAAAAAAAAGTACTTGGACAAATATATTTCGTTGTAACCTCTATTATGAAGACAATTGACATGAAATTTTTTTTGTGTGGTTTTTTAATTTTGTCAAAAAAAATTATCGGATTTCTTCATCTTTAAAATCTGTTAGAAATAATCATATTTTTTGTTGGCAAAATAAATTATTTTACGAAAAACATATTTAATTATTTTGTCCATATATATACGTTTTAATTTTAATTATTTCATTAATATATATACATATTTAATTATTATATTATATTACTTTGCAAAAAAACATATTTATTTATTTTATTCATATATATACGTATTAATTTTTTTTATTAATATTATTTATTTACTTCAAATTAACATATATTATGAACTATAACTTATATGTAATTAATATATATACATATATTCTTTTTAGTAATTTCTACGTATGAAAAAGTACTTCTGACAACAACTATCCAAACACTTTCACTTTATCAGAATCATTTTTTCAGAAAAGCTATTCTTTCAAAATCTATTCTCTCCAGAAGCTATTCTCCAAACTATAGTTTTGCCTCATCCAAACACCCCTTAATAAGTTAGCATTTAATAATGTTTTATCGGCATTTAAGAGCTTAATATCATTATTTTTTGTTAACAATTTTAAAAGTATACAACTAAAAGTTAAAAGTTTACTTTTAAAAATTAAGGTACTAAAATAAAATTTATGTAAAGTTAAAGGGCTAAAGTAACTTTAATCCATTTCTTTATTATTATTATTATTTTTTGGTTACTTTCCTTTCCACCGGTGTACTTAATCCGCAAGGCAATACAAAAACGCAGCGTAGATTGTGCATCTTCCTTCGGCTGGACGCTGAGCTTTACGTGCGTTTATATTTCACTGCCTTTTTGCTCTGCAGTCTTCGGCAACCCTTTGCATTACAATTTGGTGCTTTCATTGACCTCCAATGGCCGAACAGACCCGATCAGAGGATCTTCGGCCGGACGTTGGATGTGTAACTTATATGATAGAACAGCGTGTGATTAACGCTCGATTAGAACGGTTGGAGTCTTCTCTAGATGGGATTACGCGCGCGATGGACTCCTTGACTCGGAGTGTGGATCGTTTGCTCCACTCCCAGGCCATCGGAGTCTCCAGTTCGGTTACCGACGCTCATATGCCAGCCAACATCAACAGGTTCTTCGATGAGAAATACCAACTCTCTTCTTCTTCGTCTATCTCTCAACATTCTCTTCTTCTTGATTCTGCTTCATCGTTCCTTTTTAGCGTTTATGTTTCTGTGTAGTGCTGTCATGCTTTTATTTCTGCGGTTAAATAGTTTTTTTTTTGGCATTATTCATTATTTCGTTGTTTATTTGCGGCATTTTATTTGCTCTGTATTAAGCTTCTCAGTGTTGCGCAACCTGGCAGAGGATGCTGGTTTGGTCCTGAAAAGGCTCACCTTATTTTAATTTGAGTAGAGATTAGTGGCCATTTGATTTGATGTACGGTTATTTATTTATTTATTTATTTTTGAAATTACGTTATTTGTTACTCGAAAAAAAGTAGAGGATACAAGCACGGGGCATGCTGGTCTTCGACCTCTGGTTATCCAAATTTGGTTTGGATGTTTTAGATTTAAAATTTTTTATTATTAGCTTTTAAGTGATAATTTTATTTTTCAAAGAAGTGATTATCTTCCATTTACATTTCTATATTTTTAAAAGTAAAAAAAACCAAGAGTATAAGAATAAAAATAAATTAAATCTGAACCTCTTTTTTTTTTTTTTTTTGGGCCAGCACTGAACTTCTTAACTTTAATTTTTTTTGGGGTACAATTAATTTTAATTTTTGATTGAGATCACTGTGTTTTATTTTTAGTCGGGCACATGAGATCATTGTGTCATTTTAGCCATCCAAAGATTATGTCTCCTTCACGGCCCAAAAAGATCGTTTCTGTTTGAAAATGATCCTCATGTCAGAGCCCTGTTGGAGTTCGAATTCATTGGGCCTAAAGCCGATTGGATCAGTCACGCTTTTCTCATAAACTCCAATTATGAGAATCAATGAGGATCACCAATGAATTCTTTATGAGTGCTGAGGTTTCTTAAGTTTGAAAGTCAATTAGATGTATGCAAGTACAAAGGGAAGTTTGGATGCCCTTTTTAAAATGTAAATATAAGAAGCATCTGTCATGAATCTCACGTCGGAAAGGTTACCTATAAGTAAAAGCCTTATAAGTCCTTGAACCCTTGCCCAAATTCTGCAAAATTTAATGACGTGCTTGCTGCTACTGCGCAAGCTCAGTTGTGGGGATGGTTGTGAGAACTACACACACATAATGCGTAAATAAATATATATACATATGGGTAGAGTTAATTCCGATTGTTATTGTTGCTCTAGTGATTTTATTGCTTTTTACGAGAAATTGTACCTCTTGGATCATTATTATAGAGTCAAATAGAGGGTAGAGGAAGATTCAAGAAAACATTAAACCAGATTTTTTCGTTAACAATCTATCTAAAAATTTAGTTATTAACAAAAGGCATCATATTTTGTAGTCAATGCAACCTAGTTGAAATGAGACTTCTTGTTGTGTTCAAAACAACTTATACTCTTTGCTGATTGTTGTCAACTAAACAATGTATTTTATGAGAAGTGCCTTGTCAAATGTTGGGCTCAAAATTAAACCTAATTTTAGTTCTCCTATACTTTCCAGTTTTGACCTTTTTTTTTTGTGGCTATACTTTGGATTTATGCAGTGGATTATTGCCGGAGAGGTTGATAAATGAAAATGAAGCAAAAGAGCATGAAAAGAAAGAAGAGGCTCACCTTTACACCATTATAAAGGTCATCAATTCCCTCTCTTGATTTTTGTATAATCAACTGCTTCTTTAACTTCACCAGAATTTTCCGGTGCTGCTTCTTAGGTGGCACGAGATGAAGATCTTGCAAAACAGATTGGAAAAGATATATATTTTGACCTTGTAGACCATGACAGAGTGAAATGTTTTCGTGTCAAAAAGCAGATGACTTTTAACCATTTCAAGGTATGACAATCTAGTGATCTACCATCCTTTTACTCTTCTGCAAGGACTCTCTAACTTGGCACGGTGTGTTAACTTGTTTTCTTTCTTCTGTAGCATGCTCTGCTAACAGCCTGGTCTGGTCTTGCGTGGTTATATATTAATCCAAGTCTGTTGCATTCCTTGAAGAAAGTTGAATTAAGAAAAATGTTAGCATTATGCATAGTTATCAAATTGCAGTACAAATTGTTAATTGTAAGTTTTTACACCAAGTAATTGATTTGAGGCCGAAGCCCAAGACCATTAATCTGAACAATAAAATCCCATATAATTAGGATAACATAAGCAGCAGCAGCAACAACAATTCAGGAACATGAGCAGGGAATAAATAAAAATTCTGCCGTTAAATAGTGGTCCTTATGGGCCAATTTTCTTTATCGAAAACAATAACAAATATTAAAAAGCTGTTTAAATAGAGGTTAGAAACATTCAGACCGATTTTGATGTTGCCTGAAGCCATTTTTTTAACCACCCCGAAAAAAAGTGGTGGACTTGGTGTCTAATGCGCAGGATATCTATGTGTAAAAGTTCTTGACTGATAAACCTGCAAAATTCACGTAGATTCGTATAGGAAGTAACCAATATTTATGCAGCATCAAGTTGGTGAGTTTGTAGAACAATTTAAAGCAGAAATGGTTGGTATCAATCTCTGCTGTCAGAATTTTTTTGGATGAGCATTTTAGCTTTTAAACTATGATGCGAGTGATGATTGTCAATTTCTTATTATGCTTGGTTGAATTATTTTCAGTGGTTATATTTCTTTGTCGATTTGCAAACTGCAGGAAGAGGTTGCAAAAGAGTTTGGTATACCAGTGCAATTAATGCGCTTTTGGCTTTGGGGAAGGCGTGAAAACCATTCCTACCGCCCTTGTAGGCCATTGACGCCCCTTGAGGAAACCAAATTTGTAATAGTTTTCTAACCAATCTTCTTGTTGTTATTTGCCCTTCATTTTTTTTTCCCTTTATTTTGGTCTCGGCTATAGCAAGCTTCATATCTGTTTAACTGCTGCTGACTGTCTTGGTTTGAGCTACATTTTGCTTTTGTAAAAACTGATCTTTCACGGAAGCCTAATCTTTTCTGTTCTATTGCTGCATGTTGTCTTATTTCTAAAAGCTGTTATTTACGTGATATTGTTTGCTGGAAGCATATCTTAGATTTCATATGAGGGTGGGTTTATCATCGGTTCATCTAGTCGTGTTTTTTGTGTATCTGTCCATTTTAACCCAGCCAACTTTTTCTGGCTGTTATTTAATTCTTTCTTTTTAAAAAATAAAATTTTTTTTAGCATTATTTATATTATTTTGGATCCTCTGGTCAGTACTTTTCGTTCTGTAAGAGCAGTTAATTTCTATTAATTCTTGTCTGTAGGCTATAGTACTCTGCCATGCATTAGCATCTCTACCATTTGATGCTAGTTTTCACTTGTTTCCGACCATCTTCATGTTGCAGGTTTGGCAATTGAGAAAAGTTTTAAAAGAAGTCCACATTAATCTGTTTTTGGAAGTGGAGCTGGGGCTGGTAATTTTTATATTTATGGAATGTGATTGCATCAAACATGGTATTGTTGATATTCTGCTTTTTTATTTAGGATTTATGTCCCATTGCACCACCTAAATGGACGAAGGATGATATATTACTTTTCTTCAAGCTATATGATCCCCTAAAAGAGGAACTACGGTATTGAGTGATTTCGTTACTTTGCATTTGTTGAGGCCTGTTGTAATACCTACTGTTGAAGTTAAATCAATATTTCTATGGTGGCAGTTATGTTGGAAGGCTCTTTGTGAAGCTGGTTGGCAAGCCATCAGAGATATTAATGAAGTTAAATGAAATGGCTGGTTATGGTCGTGAGGAAGAGATTGTACTTTATGAGGTTGGTGCCCTAATTTTCTCGGCTGTAGCTTCATGCAAGTTTTATGCACCGTGGTTTTTATCCCTGTTTGTTGGAAGCATAGGTCTGTTCAAAATCAGTTCCATCCACATCTAACCAAATTAATCCAATGTCTTGTTTGATCTTGGTTGGGAGTTTGGGCATGTCTATCAGTTCAATTCCATGTAACCCCCTTTTTTCAAATAATAAAGCAAATATATTATAAGTAAGATGATTAAAATACAAGAGGTCTAGTTGCTATCCACGGGGAAAAGTTGAAGGAAAATTTTGATGTTGCTCAGCAGTTAAACAAATCTTGAATGACACAATTTCGGTAGTTCATGAAGAATTTAATCTTCATGTGCGTCATTCTTTCTATGGGGTCTTGCAACCTGAATTTTTTTTTTTTTTGACTTTGGTCACATCATTTATTTGATATTTAGATTTAGGAATGATTTGTGATCTATAGCCCTTTACATGTTTAATTTTTGAACTGAGCACTCTGAATGTCTCTGTGATTAATATGTCCGACCCTTCTTATTCTAACGTGCATGTCAGTGACTGACGGAAATCCATAATTAATGACTGGAGTGTCCTGTTAAGTGTTTTTTCCTTTTGGGTTGCGTCTTGGAATTGAGATCTCCTGTATGTGTTTTCTGCAGGAAATTAAGTTTGAACCATCTGTCATGTGTGAAGCCATTGACAAGGAACTCTCGTTTGCAGAAAGTCAGGTAAATAAATTTCTTCACGCTTGATACTCCGAGTTGCTTTCTTGTTGTGCTATACGCTGATGTGATTTCCATATTGCAGCTAGAAGATGGAGATATCATTTGCTTTCAGAAAGCACTCCGTTTTCCAGATGTGCCTTCATATTTAAGACATAAGCGCAATCGCAGGGTATATTTTATTGGTTTTCAATTCAAGCAATTTTTGTGGTTGTCCCTGGTTTGGTTTCTCCCTTTGAATTTATACATGGGTTTTGCTCTTTCAGATCGCCACGTTTGAGAAGCCAGTAAACATTCATAATCAGGAAACCAATTCCAATGAGTTGTCATCCTCCGTGGGATGAATTTGGAAGCAAACAAGTGAAAATGCATCAGCATTTACAGGATTTTATTGGAGTTTTGTGGCCATGAAATTGTATTGCGACCATGGATTGACTTTGCTCCCGACTTTCTGTTTCTATGTATGCTTGCATACACTTGCGCTTTATTTCCTTCATATGCATTTATAAACTTGTATGCGAACCGTGAGAGTATCTGGTCATTTGTTTTCATACATTTCCTCTTTTCTTCCTATCTCATTCGACTTCATAAGGACGTATAGATTTTACACCCCCCACTGGGAATCTAAACATTTTTCTGCAAGCAAGGGATTACACGGAGAAAAAGAGTCGAACTTATTCACCCCTATGCTAATTTATGCACATTAGAACATATAAAGATTATACGTATAGATTATTTTAACTAGTATTCCCACCCTTTTTTGTTAGTTACAATAAAAAATAAAGATTGCACATCCCTGCAATTCTTCTTTAGTGTGTGTGTGTGAGAGATTGCACATCCCTACAATTCTTCTTTTGTGTGTGTGTGTGGTGTGTGTGTGTGTGTGTTGGGGGGGGGGGTGGGGAGGACATGAACAAGCTATAGCCCCTACTAAACATAAAAATGGTGCAACTAAATACTGGGAAAAAGGGTGTGGTGGGGTCATCATGGATTCATGGACCATTACGGCAGATGTCAACGAAGCCTCTTATCTCTAGTGGGGAAAAAGGGGTAATGGAAACGTTTGCATTTGGGCTCAGTTTCAAACGTCTATCAAGTGGGCTCGCTTTCATTGGGTTATCCCTCTGGAAACATCTCAATTCCCTTCTCACTAGTGATTGATATCTGATTTTTCATTAATGATTGATATCTGATTTTTCATTTTTATGAAATTTTTTTTTCTCTCTTTGTATTTTTATTTTTAATTTTTGACCTATTGATGAAAAATGTTTCTACGAAACTTTTAAAAAATTCACTAATTTTAAGCAATTTGTCTTATCTACTTTTCATCTCTAAGTGAACAAATATCTCAACTGTTTTGATTCATCATATTTAAGCAGCAACATTCCTATTTAAAATAAAATCATAATTGGTCTAAGACCTTTTTGCTTGCTTCTTTGTTCTCGTGGTAACGAAGTTTTAGGCATAACTATTATGCCATATGAAGATCAGTTAAACTTCTGATTTCATCCTGATACTTGTGAACTTTTTATGGGAAGCAAGCATCCTAAGTCATGATGAGAGGGGTTAACAAAACTCCATACCAGAAAGCATGCATTGAAATCCCTGCTTCTATTCCTAAGTTAATACGGCCAGTTAGAACCCTTGCCTTCATGTAATAATCTGCTTTCGAGTAGGACACAATGCTTGAACTGAGGTTGATATTGTTAAGGTGCTTTTTAAACATGAAATCTATATGTGCTCCTTTTATAAAGTATAGAGTGTGTTTGGATTAGCGATGGTAAAATTGACTTTTATTCTAACTGACTTTTACAAACTTAAATTAGGGTAAAAATCAGTTACTGTAATGTGGTTTATGTTTAGATTGATGCTTGTAAGAAGTCAGTTGGAAAAGTTAACACTTGTTTGGATGATTAATAGAAGAGTAAGTTTACATATAAAATGAATATAAAGACATGAATTTTATTGAAGGATAGTGTTTTATATTATATGATTTTAATGTGATAATTGTCAAAAAAAATTATTAAAATTATAATTATAAAATAAAAATATTTGTTAGTGAGAAAATTATAATAGGGATTTCAAATTAATAAAAAGGATTTAAATTAAAGGGTTTGTATACAAAATTAATTTGCAAAGTACTACTACTCTATGTTTATAAAAACTCATTAATTATTTATCCCCAATTAAAATTTTTATGAATTCTTTATCCCCAATTAAATTTTTAATGAAGACTTTTTTTTTTCCAATTTTCTCTAAGTTTATTATTTAATTTTTTTTCTTTCTTTGGATACTTTTATAAACATACTTTTTTTGTTATATTTATAAGACAATTTCAGCTTGTTTAATACAGATTAAAAAAAAACTCTATAATAAATGAAGGACAAAATTGTATATTCATGCCAAAAATTAATAAAGTGATTTATAAATAGAATTAAAAAAATCTTCTTTTTCTACCTTATAAATAAGATTATAGAAGTACATAATTATTTAGTATTTTTGGAGTAATTTTTATTTTTATTAAAGTAAAGTATGACTCATTTTAATACACTTATATCTCATCTCATGGTCATCCTTTTTCTCTCTTTAGGGTGACTTTTTTCTAAAAGCTACAAATTTTGACTTTTGCTTTAACCTAACTTTTTTTGAAAAGCCCATTTGCTCAGAAGTTAATTCAAACAATATCTTACCCTTAAATAAGCCACTAACTGAAGTTCCACTCTACTTAATGCGCATTTTCTCTTCCGAACAGCATTCTAAACATGCCCTTATTGTTGGGGACTTAGCTTACGATTTGCCTGTGATGTATGCTTTTAAAAAGATATCAATTTTTCTATGTGCTTATGTGGTTGATCCTGTCCATGCCTATGTGTTTGCAGGTCTTTTCCCTAATGGAAAAGATTCATTAATGATCGATATTGGAAATTACGAGCAGAGAAGGGGGATTGACTGTGTTAATGAGGAAAATAATTTCTTAAAAATAATGGATCAGATTGTGTTAATATTTGAGCTTTTGTTTCTTTTTAATGAATCTTCCCATTTCTGTTTGTGTTCAAATTGCTGACTGCCAGAGAAAACTAATAATCTTGGTCCTCATCACTAAGAAATGGAATTCCACTTCTTGAAGCATGATCTAAATGATGGCTTTATGTTTGACAATGAACTTTAGAGGATGTACGTGTTATAAAGTATTACTCAATACTCCTTTAGTAAAAATAATTATTAATAATTTTACATAAATTAATGAATTTTGTTTAAATTAATTAATTCTTTTAAAATTTCAAAATTACTCTATATGGAATTGATTAATTATAGGAGGCTGTGTAGTTTATTAGAGCCAGGAATTTGGGTTAATCTCTCAATCAGATGTTTGATTTGCCAAAGTCCGAGAAAATGGGATGTAGGGAATGCCTCTCATCTTTTTTTTTTTTTTTTTGACCAGAGGGGAATGCCTCTCATCTGACCATCAAGTATCAGTCGAGGGTAACAGTTAGCTTAGCAGGAAATGGATGCGAAATGACAAAATTACCTGCAAGCCTCCTCCCTTATAGGAGCAATAGGAGCAATTTTGTCGCTATCTTTTTTTTTTTTTTTAAATAACAATTTTATCGCCATCTTTTGTTATTGACATATAAACTAAATAATTAATTCGCTAAAATTAAAATAATTATGGTAAAGTACCACCTGTTCTAATGTTATTTGGAAGTTATATCCAATACCTTTATTTTAGTTATAACACATTCAACATCTTAATATTATTTTTCAATTATATCTGTCATTATAATCTTATTTATCGTGTATTTAATATTTAGTAATCTTATTTATAGTACATGCTGAATGCACTATAAATAAGATTAAAGTGCCAGTTGCCACTGAAAAATAATATTAGGATGTTGGTTGCTGTTTTATTTAAGAAATTAGTTAACTTGATTATTTGTAAAAATAATATGTGTTAATTTTCTTAAAATATATTTTTCAATTATTTGCGTTAGAAATATCTCTTGATAAAAAACCTCTTTAAATGTGTAATCAATAAGAATAGTTTAAGAAAAAAAAACCTATACTTACATCAAGTTCTTTATATCAATTATGTCAAGTTTTAATCAAACATGACTATGTGTCTTATTTTTAAAATAATGTCATTTAATTATAAACCCAAGTAAATAAAACAGGACATATGGTCATATGTGATTTGAAGACTTGACATAATAAAAATTATAAATTTGAGAGATAAAAATAGATTGATACCTTACTATTATTATTTAGGATAAATGTAAACCTTTTAATTAGTTCTCATATTTAGAACCAAACTACTTAAAATATTTATTGCATTATAAAGTGAAAACAGGTTAGATTAGCCTTGCTTTGCCTTACTGACATGGGTTTTGAAATAAAGATATAAAGCCTGATTCTAAATCTAAGCTTATATATACCATTTTCTAAGGCTCAAGTCTAAACCTAAGCATTGTAAAAGATATTACTTCAAATCTTTTTTAAATGTCTATTTAAAATATGGGCTTTTAAATATGTTTAAAATCCTATAACTCTAACGTCATATATAACTATTTAAACCTATAAAAATATTACATATAAATTAAAGGGTGGAGCTTGTGTAAATGATAAGATATGAAACTTTGCATTAAAGCTAAATTAGTAATTTTAAAGATAATTTAAAAAATTCATTTATATTATACTATATAAAATAGTGCATGGTAAAAAATAAATAAATAGATCAGGTCTGGAAGTCTATAAGCTGAGCTTTATTAAAATAGTCCTTACTTATTTACTTAAATAGGTCTAGAAAATAAGTTTTTTTTGGTTAAAGTATAGGTATCCTCCTATTAGAAGCAATCATATTCGAGGCATTGTCGGGCACTAAATGTGGGTACCTCTCCTAGCAGGAATTTAAACTTTAGTTCGTCATGTTGTGAGTGATTAATCTCTTTCGCTAGACCCAAACCCGTTGGTTGGTCTAGAAATAAGTTTGAACCTACTTATTTACTATTCACTAAAGAAACTAGGGCAGACTATAGCCTTAATAAATACTACCTTCGGTTCTAAGTATAAGACCTCACTTATAGTTTATAAATAAGATCTTATAATTAGGATTGGAAGTAATAAGAGTTTAAACTACTCCAAGAAAAGAGAGGTTAAATTACTTCCCCCGTAAGTCTACTATAATGGTCACACCAATACATTACTATTGTATATCGATCATAGTGCATTACAACTTAGAAAATGACAAAAAATAGCTAAAGAAAGTGAGAAAAATGCAAGCAGAAGAAATCCCTTAGAAAAGGCCAAGAGGAGGAGAAGGTCGGAGAGAAGCAGGCGATTCACAAAATTCTTCACACACTTCTCCTGAAAATCTTTCCTTGTACTTTTTTTTGGCAAGCATTGATATACTCTTATTGAAAGTAATTCGAGGTAATGTCGAGCATTAAATATGGGTGACTCTTGTGCCAAAAATTTGAACCCATCATATTGTAAGGGACTAATCCCTTCCATTAGAATCAATCTCAGTTAGTAAAACCTTTCCCCATATAAGCCATGTTCTTTAGACCTTTTGTCATGCTTTTCGGCCCATTTACTTTATCTATAGCTCATATTTCCTTTTGGCCCATTTCCACATAGCCTAGTATGTTTTTTTTTTTTATAGTTAAAGTATATATTTGGTCTTTTAACTTTATATAAAGTTTTAATTTGGTTCTTAATTCTAAAAAGTATACTTTTAGTCCTTTAACCTCAAAATTGTTAGTATTAAATGATATTTTTTGTATCAATTATGATTGTTTTGAATATTAAACTTAATATGTTAGCATTTAGTAATATTTTATCGGCATTTAAGAACTCAATATCATTATTTTTTGTTAACAATTTTAAAAGTATACAACTAAAAGTTAAAAGTTTACTTTTAAAAATTAAGGTACTAAAATAAAATTTATGTAAAGTTAAAGGGCTAAAGTAACTTTAATCCATTTCTTTATTATTATTATTATTTTTTGGTTACTTTCCTTTCCACCGGTGTACTTAATCCGCAAGGCAATACAAAAACGCAGCGTAGATTGTGCATCTTCCTTCGGCTGGACGCTGAGCTTTACGTGCGTTTATATTTCACTGCCTTTTTGCTCTGCAGTCTTCGGCAACCCTTTGCATTACAATTTGGTGCTTTCATTGACCTCCAATGGCCGAACAGACCCGATCAGAGGATCTTCGGCCGGACGTTGGATGTGTAACTTATATGATAGAACAGCGTGTGATTAACGCTCGATTAGAACGGTTGGAGTCTTCTCTAGATGGGATTACGCGCGCGATGGACTCCTTGACTCGGAGTGTGGATCGTTTGCTCCACTCCCAGGCCATCGGAGTCTCCAGTTCGGTTACCGACGCTCATATGCCAGCCAACATCAACAGGTTCTTCGATGAGAAATACCAACTCTCTTCTTCTTCGTCTATCTCTCAACATTCTCTTCTTCTTGATTCTGCTTCATCGTTCCTTTTTAGCGTTTATGTTTCTGTGTAGTGCTGTCATGCTTTTATTTCTGCGGTTAAATAGTTTTTTTTTTGGCATTATTCATTATTTCGTTGTTTATTTGCGGCATTTTATTTGCTCTGTATTAAGCTTCTCAGTGTTGCGCAACCTGGCAGAGGATGCTGGTTTGGTCCTGAAAAGGCTCACCTTATTTTAATTTGAGTAGAGATTAGTGGCCATTTGATTTGATGTACGGTTATTTATTTATTTATTTATTTTTGAAATTACGTTATTTGTTACTCGAAAAAAAGTAGAGGATACAAGCACGGGGCATGCTGGTCTTCGACCTCTGGTTATCCAAATTTGGTTTGGATGTTTTAGATTTAAAATTTTTTATTATTAGCTTTTAAGTGATAATTTTATTTTTCAAAGAAGTGATTATCTTCCATTTACATTTCTATATTTTTAAAAGTAAAAAAAACCAAGAGTATAAGAATAAAAATAAATTAAATCTGAACCTCTTTTTTTTTTTTTTTGGGCCAGCACTGAACTTCTTAACTTTAAATTTTTTTTGGGTACAATTAATTTTAATTTTTGATTGAGATCACTGTGTTTTTATTTTAGTCGGGCACATGAGATCTTTGTGTCATTTTAGCCATCCAAAGATTATGTCTCCTTGACGGCCCAAAAAGATCTTTTCTGTTTGAAAATGATCTTCATGTCAGAGCCCTGTTGGAGTTCGAATTCATTGGGCCTAAAGCCCATTGGATCAGTCACGCTTTTCTCATAAACTCCAATTTAATTCCGATTGTTATTGTTACTCTAGTGACTTTATTGCTTTTTACTAGAAATTGTACCTCTTGGATCATTATTATAGAGTCAAATAGAGGGTAGACGAAGATTCAAGGAAACATTAAACCAGAGTTTTTGGTTAACAATCTATCTAAAAATTTAGTTATTAACAAAGGGCATCATTTTTTGTAACCAATGCAACCTAGTTGAAATGAGACTTCTTGTTGTGTTCAAAACAACTTATACTCTTTGCTGATTGTTGTCAACTAAACAATGTATTTTATGAGAAGTGCCTTGTCAAATGTTGGGCTCAAAATTAAACCTAATTTTAGTTCTCCTATACTTTCCAGTTTTGACCTTTTTTTTTTGTGGCTATACTTTGGATTTATGCAGTGGATTATTGCCGGAGAGGTTGATAAATGAAAATGAAGCAAAAGAGCATGAAAAGAAAGAAGAGGCTCACCTTTACACCATTATAAAGGTCATCAATTCCCTCTCTTGATTTTTGTATAATCAACTGCTTCTTTAACTTCACCAGAATTTTCCGGTGCTGCTTCTTAGGTGGCACGAGATGAAGATCTTGCAAAACAGATTGGAAAAGATATATATTTTGACCTTGTAGACCATGACAGAGTGAAATGTTTTAGTGTCAAAAAGCAGATGACTTTTAACCATTTCAAGGTGTGACAATCTAGTGATCTACCATCCTTTTACTCTTCTGCAAGGACTCTCTAACTTGGCACGGTGTCTTAACTTGTTTTCTTTCTTCTGTAGCATGTTCTGCTAACAGCCTGGTCTGGTCTTGCGTGGTTATATATTAATCCAAGTCTGTTGCATTCCTTGAAGAAAGTTGAATTAAGAAAAATGTTAGCATTATGCATAGTTATCAATTTGCAGTACAAATTGTTAATTGTAAGTGTTTACACCAAGTAATTGATTTGAGGCCGAAGCCCAAGACCATTAATCTGAACAATAAAATCCCATATAATTAGGATAACATAAGCAGCAGCAGCAACAACAATTCAGGAACATGAGCAGGGAATAAATAAAAATTCTGCTGTTAAATAGTGGTCCTTATGGGCCAATTTTCTTTATCGCAAAAAATAACAAATATTAAAAAGCTGTTTAAATAGAGGTTAGAAACATTCAGACCGATTTTGATGTTGCCTGAAGCTATTTTTTTAACCACCCCGAAAAAAAGTGGTGGACTTGGTGTCTAATGCGCAGGATATCTATGTGTAAAAGTTCTTGACTGATAAACCTGCAAAATTCACGTAGATTCGTATAGGAAGTAACCAATATTCATGCAGCATCAAGTTGGTGAGTTTGTAGAACAATTTAAAGCAGAAATGGTTGGTGTCAATCTCTGCTGTCAGAATTTTTTTGGATGAGTATTTTAGCTTTTAAACTATGATGCGAGTGATGATTGTCAATTTCTTATTACGCTTGGTTGAATTATTTTCAGTGGTTATGTTTCTTTGTTGATTTGCAAACTGCAGGAAGAGGTTGCGAAAGAGTTTGGCATACCAGTGCAATTTATGCGCTTTTGGCTTTGGGGAAGGCGTCAAAACCATTCCTACCGTCCTTGTAGGCCATTGATGCCCTTTGAGGAAATCACATTTGTAATAGTTTTCTAACCAATCTTCTTCTTGTTATTTGCCCTTCTTTTTTGTTTTTTTCCTTTATTTTGGTCTCGGCTATAGCAAGCTTCATATCTATTTAACTGCTGCTGACTGTCTTGGTTTGAGCTACATTTTGCTTTTGTAAAATCTGATCTTTTACGGAAGCTTAATCTTTTCTGTTCTATTGCTTCATCTTGTCTTATTTCTAAAAGCTGTTATTTACGTGATATTGTTAGCTGGAAGCATATCTTAGATTTCATATGAGGGTGGGCTTATCATCAGTTCACCTAGTGGAGTTTTTCGTGCATCAGTCCATTTTAACCCAACCAACTTTTTCTGGCTGTTATTTATTTATTTTTTTTAAACAACAAAAGAATGTTTAGCGGTAGTTATATTATTTTGGATCCTCTGGTCGGTACTTTTTGCTCTGTAAGAGCAGTTAATTAATTTCTATTACTTCTTGTCTGTATGCTATAGTACTCTGCCATGCATTAGCATCTCTACCATTTGATGCTGGTTTTCACTTGTTTCCGACCATCTTCATGTTGCAGGTTTGGCAATTGAGAAAAGTTTTAAAAGAAGTCCACATTAATTTGTTTTTGGAAGTGGAGCTGGGGCTGGTAATTTTTATATTTATGGAATGTGATTGCATCAAACATGGTATTGTTGATATTCTGCTTTATTATTTAGGATTTACGTCCCATTGCACCACCTGAAAAGACGAAGGATGATATATTACTTTTCTTCAAGCTATATGATCCGCTAAAAGAGGAACTACGGTATTGAGTGATTTTGTTACTTTGCATTTGTTGAGGCCTGTTGGAATACCTACTGTTGAAGTTAAATCAATATTTCTATGGTGGCAGTTATGTTGGAAGGCTCTTTGTGAAGCTGGTTGGCAAGCCATCAGAGATATTAATGAAGTTAAATGAAATGGCTGGTTATGGTCGTGAGGAAGAGATTGTACTTTATGAGGTTGGTGCCCTAATTTTCTCGGCTATAGCTTCATGCAAGTTTTATGCACTGTGGTTTTTATCCTTGTTTGTTGGAAGCATAGGTCTGTTCAAAATCAGTTCCATCCACATCTAACCAAATTAATCCACTGTCTTGTTTGATCTTTGTTAGGAGTTTGGGCATGTCTATCAGTTCAATTCCATGTAACCCCCTTTTTTCAAATAATAAAGCAAATATATTATAAGTAAGATGATTAAAATACAAGAGGTTTAGTTGCTATCCACGGGGAAAAGTTGAAGGAAAATTTTGATGTTGCTCAGCAGGGGTTAAACAAATCTTGAATGACACAATTTCGGTAGTTCATGAAGAATTTAATCTTCATGTGCGTCATTCTTTCTATGGGGTCTTGCAACCTGAATTATTTTTTTTGACTTTGGTCACATCATTTACTTGATATTTAGATTTAGGAATGATTTGTGATCTATAGCCCTTTACATGTTTAATTTTTGAACTGAGCATTCTGAATGTCTCTGTGATTAATATGTTCGACCCTCCTTATTCTAACGTGCATGTCAGTGACTGACGGAAATCCATAATTAATGACTGGAGTGTCCTGTTAAGTGTTTTTTCCTTTTGGGTTGCGTCTTGGAATTGAGATCTCCTGTATCTGTGTTTTGTGCAGGAAATTAAGTTTGAACCATCTGTCATGTGTGAACCCGTTGACAAGGAACTCTCGTATGCAGAAAGTCAGGTAAATAAATTTCTTCACGCTTGATACTCCGAGTTGCTTTCTTGTTGTGCTATACGCTGATGTGATTTCCATATTGCAGCTAGAAGATGGAGATATCATTTGCTTTCAGAAAGCACTCCGTTTTCCAGATGTGCCTTCATATTTAAGACATAAGCGCAATCGGAGGGTATATTTTATTGGTTTTCAATTCAAGCAATTTTTGTGGTTGTGCCTGGTTTGGTTTCTCCCTTTGAATTTATACATGGGTTTTGCTCTTTCAGATCGCCACGTTTGAGAAGCCAGTAAACATTCATAATCAGGAAACCAATTCCAATGAGTTGTCATCCTCCGTGGGATGAATTTGGAAGCAAACAAGTGAAAATGCATCAGCATTTGCAGGATTTTATTGGAGTTTTGTGGCCATGAAATTGTATTGCGACCATGGATTGACTTTGCTCCCGACTTTCCGTTTCTATGTATGCTTGCATACACTTGGGCTTTATTTCCTTCATATGCATTTATAAACTCGTATGCGAACCGTGAGAGTATCTGGTCATTTGTTTTCATACATTTCTTCTTTTCTTCCTGTCTCATTCGACTTCATAAGGATGTATGGATTTTACACCCCCCACTGGGAATCTAAACATTTTTCTGTAAGCAAGGAATTACACGGAGAAAAAGAGTCGAACTTATTCACCCCTATGCTAATTTATGCACGTTAGGAAATATAAAGATTATACGCATAGATTATTTTAACTAGCATTCCCACCCTTTTTTGTTAGTTAAAATAAAAAATAAAGATTGCACATCCCTGCAATTCTTCTTTAGTATATATATACACATGAACAAGCTATAGCCCCTACTGAACCTAAAAGTTTCATGTCTCCTTTTTTTTTTTTTTGACTGAAAATTTCATGTCTCCCGTTGTAACAAAAAAAACAAAATGGTGCCCGTAAATATTGGGAAAAAGGGTGTGGTGGGGTCATCATGGACGATTATGGCAGATGCCAACGAAGCCTCTTATCTTTTTGGGGAAGAAATCGGGTAATGGAAACCGTTTGCACATGGGCTCAGTTTTCAAACATGTATCAAGTAGGCTCACTTTCATTGGGTTATCCCTCTGGAAGCATCTCAATGGCCTTCTCACTAGTGACGTATGCTCATGTGATAGGCCCTATTCTGAAGTTTTGAATGACTAATTGTTCTATTTGGAACAATATTCCCCCGAGGTAGGGTGGGCTCGGCCTCTGCAGGCCATTTCTTTGTCTCTATTTTTTAAAAAAAAAAAGTGTTTTTTTTTTTTAGTCTTTCCGGCGAATAAAAATCCTTTTCCTACGGTATATCTTGAACCTTGACAGGTTGGCCGAAAAGGAAAAAAAAAAAAGTTCATATAATTTTAGTCCTTTGAGTTTGGTCTTTAAAACATCCGTCTTATAATTTAATAAAAATATAGATCATTTTTCCTTTCAAGAATGAAAACCTATAGTTTGAAATTTAAGAGACTAAAATCAAAATGAGGACAAATTTAAAAGATAAAAAATTATATTAACCCAGAAAAAAAAAAAAATTATCTTTGGATGATTATTCTGAAAAAAAAAAGCATTTGAAAACGAAAACATAAAAACTTGTTTGGAACATCGTTCTTAAAATCAACTTGGAGAATTGATGGGAAGTGAGAGATAAAGTGAAGAGTGCAGTTGGGGGACTGAGAAATGACGTACAAGAGCATGAGAGCTAAAGTGAAGAGTGTGGCCTTGAGTAAAAAGAACAATTAGGAAAATTAGGAAAAATAACAAAATAGAAAAAAAAAAAACAATAAAACATGTAAAAAAAATTATTGAGTTTTTGTTTTCAAAAACATATTTCTATTTTTTTATTTTACAAAACACTTAGTTAAAAATTAACAACCAAATAAGTTTTTTTGCTAATATTGTTTCCAAAACAAGAAAACAAACAGGCCCTACCTTTTTTTTTCCTTATTTTTATATTCCAAGAAAGTTGTGTGTGGTTTACCCAACAAAGGGGGAAAAATAAAAAACAAGATGTTTTGTTTGCACACGGGCTGTACGCAAAATCACGGGTGCTTCTGATGAAGGACCTGATTGCAACACTGCTTGTTTACTAAATAATGCTTTTGTATATTCACATTTATCCTACCAAACAATGTTAATTTGCTTGGCTTTTCTTTCTTGCCCTTCAAGTTCGTTCTTGAAGTTCGCTCTTCTTTACATACATTAGCATGTACCTAAAGCGGCGAAAGACATCAAAACTTTACCTTATAGGAGATTATAACGCAATAATAAACCCCTTCTTGCCAGCTCTGTCTCCAAAGTTGGCCTACAAATTAGTCCTCAGATGATGATGAAGAACAGCTTTGTTTGCTGGCCAGTGGTGTGTTTCGCCGAGATCGACGCTTGGTTTGGACCAGCACAGGCTCCTGCACCCATTCTTCCATCATTTCATCATTGTCAGCATCATCACCGACCTTAAAAACTGGGTGGATGAACGCACTCTGGAGGAACTCTTTCATATTCAGGTTTGGCTCCCTTGCTTTCTCCAATGTATCTTTCATCATTGCTTCCTGAAAGTGCAGTAGGATCAATACAGGCCAAAATATACAGGCCATGTTTTTCTTTTATTTGGTCAATGCAGTAGTGAAGACCTGAAGATATTTCTTGTGCAGATTATTTGCTCAAGAAAAGAAATTTAGTTGGGGGTGGGGGTTCATCATTGAACTTTTAGAGAATTATTTGCACTTGACGTAAAGTTGGCAGAGTTTAATGCAATTTCTTTTTACCAGAGTTTAATGCAATTGAGCCATTTTAGAATGCAACTCAAACCCTAGTTGCAATATCTGACAAAAAATAGTCAGAAAAGCCACGAGACTAGGCCTACTTTCTGAGGGAAGCCCAACTTACTGAGAAGAAGAAACCATAATACCAATTGCAATATCTGACAAACCTGTAATGGATATTTTCTGAAGGCAGGTTCATAACGGTCCTTGCAGAACCTATAAAACCATATGGTCAAAACTGGGAGTGCGATGAGAAACGGAGTTGAGTGAGATGCTTCTTTTGTACTCAACAATCCCATTAACAGCAGTTGTGACACGACTAATGCAACAACTACACGCCCATGAACATCAGGCCAGAAGGCTGCAGCGCTTTCATACTCTTGGTTGTACACATTAATGATCTACACAACACAACCATTCAACTTCATGCATTAGATAAAACCTCTCTTGATATTGTAAGAAAACTAGAACAAGTTCATGCTTTTCTTCCCTAACAAGTAGGTGAATTTTAAATTTGATTACATTCAAATATTTTTTTAAATAAATCTAGTCAGTCAATCATTGGGATATCTGTAATATTGTCATTTAGTCTCATTTTTCGGTAATGTAAGCCTAATAGTTATTAGTTGGGTCAGACCTGTAATCCTATAGCATATAGTAATCAGACAATTTGAATTTTGTCTTAGAATAGGATGGAACGACAATACTGCTGGCATTTTAATGATTGGAGGGCTAACTGAAAAATCTACTTATTAATTAGGGACTGGGTTTTCCTGAAAAATTTAGAATTTCATAGTAGTTCCCTTTTTATAAAAGCAACGCTATCAAGTCAGGTTGATTCGATCAGTTACAGAAAAAGATTTTCATCAACCTAAAGATCTTCATACATACAAGACTATATCATCGAGGGGTATGATTTAGGAATCAAATAATTCTTATAATCTAAGACAACAAGCATGTGAAAATGGTGACCAAGAGCATCAAAATAGAAAATCTGATTTTTACCTGGTGACGATAGACAACATATGCCAGGCCAAAGAAGACTACAATGAATGGAAGCAGAATAGGTGTGACCACAGCATAAACAAGGCCAAGCAAGAAATAAAGTTGTATTTGAGGTTCACCGGTATTGAAGCCAAGAGTGCCTGGATCCATTGCTTCCATTCGATCCTTTTCTGTCTTAACTAGAAAGAAGTTTTTTAAATGATAGAATATCAAAGGCTTCAACCTAAGAATCTCAGCAGCAGATCCAGCCCACCCATCAACCATTATGTAAGTTATGAAGAAAGTTGCTTTCATTGGAATTGAGACGCCAATTGTTTTTGGGATTCTGCAAACACAATAAAACTTAATATTACAATGAAAATAGAACCATACTGAGTTTTGGTCCTCCAAAGGTGCACCTTGTTTCAGTTTAGCTCTCCAAAGATTAATAATTTTAGTCATTCAAGGAACACTTCACTTCAGTTTGAATATGATCTACGTTGAAGCCCATTAACAAATAGTTACCGAGACATGTGACCTTTAACTACCTATGTTGCCATCAAAGTGTTGTACAAGCACTCTTTCTATGTCCAAATGTTGTAAAATGTGGCGTTTTGATTATTGCAGAAAAGGTGCTTGGTTATTATTAAAAATGATACATTAATTTTCACAAAAATAAATAAAAAATAAAAAATGATGCACTGATGATAAGGACTTACTCATTTGCAGACTGATGGATAAATTTATCTAGTTGTTGGAATGCAGTCCCAGTTATAATGCTCCCAAGAAATACATTAATGAATTGGAAAATGAAGTATCTTGTGGCTGCTCTCCTTTCTAGAGAAGACAAGCTTATAAATCCTTCAAACTTGGACATTAACATCAATATTGAGGGTAGGAAAATGAGAAATATCTTCAGTGCAATGCCAGGAAGGAACCCTTGTATGAAAGATTTAATGACTTTCCTGCATGGAAAATAAGAGATAAGATTGATTTCCGCAGTGGACCCTGTAAGGTTTGAACATTAGGTTTTTCTGCACGACTCTCACATTCCATCACATTGTCTCCTAAGCAAGACATAAAACTTAGCATTCTTTGGATAGTTATCATCCACAGTATTATAATAACACTAGCAAAGTGTCAAAAATTTAATTTATAAAGACAACCACAAGTAGAAGAAAGTATTATTTTAACCCTTGACAGATTCAATTTGGACTTTCATATATTATTTCCCCATAGTCCCTCAATCACTAAAAACCTTTTAATTTTGCCCTTCTAATCTTTAACCAATATTTAAAACCAAATCTCACACCTTGTCCACTTGGATGCCAAATTGAAAGTGTCAGGTCAACTAACATCCAATTACTAGTTGGCTTTAAATTTTGTATAGAAATGGGATGGAAGGCCAACAAGGTAAGCATCTTAGGGATCGAGGGATTATAACAGCAAACCTTCTCTCACTAGGGATCAAGAGGCTAAATTGAAAGAAAATATTTGTGGAAAGACAAACTGAAAATGCATCAATTCTGTAGACACACAAATAGGGTTTTCCTCCAAAAAGTATCTAACACTGAAAAATGCTTTAATGCAAATCAATCCAAATTGCAAGAATGAAATCAGCAGAACGTTACCATAATATTTGATAAATTTGGTTTATGGAAATATGGACAACAAAAAGTAAAGTGTGCAACGATGAAAAACAAGATGGAAAGGGAAGGTGAATAGGAGGAGGAACGAACAAAAGAATAATACATACACTTCTATGATG